ACAGGGTTTCTCTGTGTAACAGTCCTGGCTGTGACTGAACTTGCTTTGTAGACCAGGCTGACCTGGAACTCATGACTCCCCACCCCCAAAAAAGCAAGCAAGCAAAAAAAATGTTATCTAGCCCCCCCCCCATTTTTTTTGAAGGCAAACAAAAATAGGGTATTTGGAAAGAGGAGCAACCAGTAATAGGGATGGAAGGGAACTACAGTAATGGGGGAATGTGTGTGAAAACAATCAAAACACATCACTTGCTTGTATCATAATGAAGTCAATGATCTTGTTCAATTGATACATGCTAATAAAATGCAAAAACGCATACAAGTGCAAAAGGAATAATCTAAGTCCCTTGCTGGAACTGGCTCCCCTTACCTCTCCATGTTTCTCCTCTTGGCCCTGCGCAGGGCCACGATGCCTTCTTTTGCAAGAGCATCTAAGGAAAAGGGGTCAATCCCCTGAAAAAAAAAAAAAAAAAACAGTTTCAATAGCTTTCACCTTACAAACCAACAAACTCACTCAAAATTTCAAATCCTCACCTTCTGGTTAATGACGACAAATCCTTTATCGGAATCACCACAGACTTTCCTTTTTAGCTCTACTATCTTTTTAACTCTGTCTTCAATGAATTTTCTTTCAGCCTTCACTAGTTTCTCTCTCTCTTCTGCACTCTTGTAGAAAAACCCAGAATTCACTTCTCTACAAGGAAAAAAAAGGCCACAGAAAGGGGAGATTTCCATCTTCCATTAGTTCTAAGGGGACCGAGGAAACTGCATTGGGCTGGACACATCCTGGCCCAGGGCTGCACCACTGAGCTGCATATAACCCGAGTCCCCACGTTTGCCTCCTGTCCCTACAGTGGGGAGAATGCCAGGGCCCCCCCTACCCCCAAGGGTTATGCTGTACACTCACGTTTTCTCGTATTCTAAGGACACATTGCAGGTGAGGATGTAGGCATTTTCTACTCTCTTCTTCATGTCAGGATGCCGTGCTCCATGATCCAAAACAAGCCCTCTGATTAAGCTATAAAACAGGAAAATTTACACCATTCCTATTTATAGATACCAGACAGGAGAGTGACACACACTAATAAGAACAATGAACTGCTACAGTGATAATTTTCACACAAGTCCACGAATTTCTACAACAGTCTGCAAACTTTGTAGTTAAACTTAAGGCCAGACAGGAAAAAGCAATGCTCTAGGATACAAGACAAGCCACACAAACAAAAACAACCTTCTACCTTAGGAAAGACTGCCGTCACTTTAATGTTTCTCTTAAGGAAACATTTTCAAGCTAGAATCTTTGAACAGTTGAATTACCAGCAGTCTTTCCATTATGCACTGTACTCAAGCCTATCAATAAATGCTTACTGATACTAACACTTCAGAATCACACTGACCACAAACACAGAGCAGTACTCCCTCATTTCAATAGTGCATGCTACTTCAAATAAATATCATACCCAGTAACTTATCCAATATGAAATTGTCTCAGGGCTGGGGAATAGCTTCGCGGTAGAAAGCAGTTCAAAGCATTGTCACCTACCTTGTATCAGTTTCAGATTTATGTTTCATCTCCATGATCTCAACCATGAAGAGGTCAATGGGTTCATCTTTTTTCTTAATGGCCAAAATGGAGTCCACTACAGCCTATGAGATAACCATTAAATAAATCCAATTTGTAGAGGATGACACACTTTAGCTGATCTTTAGACAAGCGTAAAGGTTGAAGCAATTTATGTCCCTAAAACCTCAACTTGCAATTGTCTGAAGGATTACCGACACTATTATTGTATTGCAAACACACGTAACTCATTGGGCACAGTATGGACTGGGGTTAAGATTAGAGAGAATCTATTTCAAATTCCCTCTATCCCCAAACAAGCACAACAGCATCTTATAACAGTTTACTGAGAACTAACAGACAACTTTGAGTGTTAAGAGATTTCCTGATTAGACCAGGACAAACTACCAGTTCCCATAAATGTGGGGGGGGGGGGGGGGAGGGAGGACACCTATTTCTAAAAACTAAGTCTCTACTTAGTAATCCTTCTGTTAAAGTTTTAATTATTCTTCCCAAACCTGGCCTGGTAACAATTCAATCTTTCCACTTTGAAGACAGATTAGTTGACTACTGCTGAGGGAAACCCCGAACCCCTTACTCTGCACAGCATTGTTGTGAAGACCCTATGTGTGCAACATCAAGAACAGACATTTCTGGAGATCTCTGTGCACTGCACCTCATGCACAGCCACGTTACTCACACACCTCTGTTAAGACATCCGCAAGTTCAGCATGAACTTTAGTTCGCAGAGATGTTCTGGCCACATCGATCAGGGTTTCTCTGTCCATCTCTCTGCTCACTTTGACTTGTTCCAAAAACTGGAGTGCCTTTTCCTTCGCAGCTTCAAAACCTTCAGTTATTATCCTGGGGTGAAGACCCTAGAATCGAAACAGTTACAAACCCACTGCCAACACTGGAATCTTCCATTAGATACACGACAATCCACTAAGCTCAGCAACATCTGCAGGGACACTGGGCCATTCATACTTAAGGCAACATGGTGTGCTGCTTTTCTGAATACATCTAAAAGGACACAGTACTCCTTTCAATGCAGAGGAAAAGAACAGACTTTACTCTAGCACAGAGTCAAGGCCAAGGGAACCACAGATACAGTACACTTGGGTGTTCACTGTGCAAACCAGAATACCAAACCCCAACCTGGCTCCTAAAGCCCTGCTGCCAGTAAATGTCTTTCTTGTCTGCAGGTAATTTCAACTAAGTCACATTATTTTGAAATATTATTTAAAAAACAAAAAACAAAACCAGAGTCTAGGCCAGATGTGGGGCAAAAGTAACCAGAGCTCTGTGAGTTTGAGGCTAGCCCATTAAATATAAATATGTAATCATTTATATATTGTTGTTGGTTGTTTTTGCTCTTTTGGGGGGCAACTCCCAAATTAAACCACACACGAGGCTTATTCTTAATTATAAATGTCCGGCCTTAGCTTGGCTTGTTGCTAGCCAGCTTTACTTTAAATTATCCCGTCTAGCTTTTGCCTGTGGGCCTTTACCTTTCTCTATCTCTGTATTTCCTTCATTATTTCTTACCGTAGCTTGCTGAGTAACTGGGTGGCTGGCCCCTTGTGCCCTCCTCTGGCTACTTCTTTCTTTTCTCCTCCCAAATTTCTCCTTCTATATATTCTCTCTGCCTGCCAACCCTGACTATCCTTTCTCCTTCCTGCCTTGCTAATGGCCGTTCAGTTCTTTATTAGACCATCAGGTGTTTTAGACAGGCACAGGAACACAGCTTCAGAGTTAAACAAATGCAACATAAACAAAAGTAACACACCTTAAAATAATATTCTACAACAATATACAGTTGACTTTTTCTTCATTCATGTTGGACAGAGATCAAGACAAATACAGGCTCCCAGACTTAAGCAGCCTGACCTTACGTTCTATGGTGTGCTCTCAGGTAGGATCCCATCAATTTTCATCAAGATCCCACAGACAACATACCCCAGAAACAAGAATCATGTGTACCTCAGAAATGTAGAGGTCGGCCTGCTTCAGCAGCTCCCCGATGATAAGGACATTGGACGTGGTGCCGTCGCCAGTGATGTCATCCTGGGCTGTAGCTACTTTTGCTATTAGAGAGGCTGTTGGGTGTTGGATTTGCTGAATGTAGAAAAAGAACTACTTAAATGACTTAAAACACTACCTAGGGTAAAATATAAGACAGGCTCCTTTAAAGCCATCTATTTAAACTGTCTGGCTGAGCTACATTTTGTTGGATTTTCAAGTCATTTTTTTTTTTTTTTCTGGGATTTGAACTGCTGGTCCTGAAAGTTCTGGTGAGCAAATAGGTGCTTGGACCAATTTCACTTGACCCTTGGGACAAAAATAGTAACTATAGTAAAATATAACTGTCCAGGTGTGAAGGCATACAGCTTTAGCCCCAGTATTCAGGAGGCAGAAGCAGGTTATCTCTGTGAGTTCGAGGCCAGTCAGGGCTATATTGAGATCTTGTCTTAAACAAAAAAAAAAAAAAAAAAATCAAAGTAAGGAAATTTTCACTTCTCCTGTAGTAGAAATGGAAAGATGAGGATTTATTTTGGTTGTTCTTTCACAGTTGCCCTGATTTTGAGACAGGGTCTCACTATGCAGCCCTGCCTGTCCTGGAAATTGCTGTAGACCAGGGTGTCCTTGAACTCAAGAGACCCTCCTGTCTGGGTGCTGGGATTAAATCGTGCACCACTGCCACCAGGCCTTTTTTTTAAAACAATCTTTTAGTCCCGACTAAAAAAGTAGCCCCCAACCCCCAAAAGCAGGGATCTAAATACATGTGTGAGACCCTAAGTTCTTCACCCAGTATACAATTTTCTACATTTCTGTTTGAAAGATATGAGCCACCTCGAGAATGAACAAGGTAACACTACAGGAGGTTAAGATCTTTTTTTTTTAACCTACCATGGGAACCTCTTACCATTTCGTGAAGCAGCACATTACCATCTTTAGTAAGCTTGATGTCTCCAGCACCAGAAACAAGCCTGTCAAAAGGGCAAAAAAAACGATGAGCAAAATGTGACTTTTTTCAATGGAAACCCAACTAAGAATTCCATAAAGAAGCCAAGGGGAGGTGATGTGTATTTCTCCCCACCCCCCTTGTTTTTTTAAATTTTTTCATTTTTTTGAGACAAGTCAATCTCTGGGAGTTTGAGGCCAGTCAGAGCCCAAATAAATACACGGCGACAAGTCCCACAAAGGAGGGACAACCGACTATATGACGTGCAAGCAGGCCCTTTGGGGGAAGCAGGTACAATACGGGGGGACACACACAGGGGTAAGAGCAAAGTAAAATAAAGCACTGTGTCCCAGCCAACTTCATTAATTCGCCAACGGTACGGTCACGAAACTAAACCCCACAAAATGTGAACCTTGCTCCTACATCCTATTAAGCTCGGGACCACGGGGCTGGGGAGAGGAAGGGTGCACACGCCACCCCTCTTCCTCCAAAGGAAGTGGGTGCGACTGGCAATCCCGAAAGGCGCGAACTGGGCTGTCTGGATGGGAGGCCGCACAGACATTGTAGAAAACGCCAGGGCGAAGGCCTGCAGGCGGCGGCTCGGCTCTGCGGCCACCGGCCCCGCCAGGCCCGCTCTCCTCCCGCCCTCCCGGCCTTACATCTTCATGGTGCCCTTGGGCCCCAAGTTGGTCCTCAGCACATCCTGCAGGCCCCGTGCCGCGCTGATGTTCACCGCCAGCGCTGCCTGCGCCCGGGCCACCTCGGCTTTGGGATTTAGGGTCTTCACCGCCGCCATGGCCGGCCTAGCTCAGGGAGAGGCCGAGAACAACGTGCTCTATGCGGGTCTTCTCGAAAAGTCTTACGCACCTGGCCCGCCTCCAGCGTGCCTACAGGGCGCCGCCATTGGGCTGCGGCTCCGCTGCCGCCCTCTGATTGGCTCAGTCGGACGCTAGTCTCTCGAGGCTCCGCCCACCACGCCCCAGTTGCGGCGTCATTGCGCATCCGAGAAACTTGTTCCCTGGCAATCGACCCTCCGAGGCTTAAGGTTCCGTCGCGGTCGCAGCACACTGTTGCTGATCCGCGACTTAAGGACTGAAGTGTGGCGGTTGCACAGCCTGCTGTGTGGAAAAGCCCTATAGGTTGTGTGTGAGGGATGCTTCGGCCTCAGCACTCGCCTGGGCGTGACAGGAAGCAGAGGCGTCGGCTTCGCTTTGCGGGATGTCTGTAGCTACTGGACTCTGGGTTCCGGGATGTGCCCCTCACGCTCTCGCGAGGTTTCCCAGATTCGGTTTTTCTTCCTTGTTTTTATCCATAAATGGGGGAACACAGAAAACGGACGCTTCCCCAGTACCCTGATGGTTCAGAACCGGGGAAGAAAAGTCTAATGCTAGGTAGAAATTCCTAGATGGCTTTAGGAGCGACGAGATTGGTGCGATGGGCGTTGAGGAGACTCCAAGAGTCAGTCCATTCTTAGGGCCCAGGTCAGTGAGGCAGATTTTGAAAACTCAGGGGTTGGTTGGTTGGTTTTTAGAGATAGTTTTTTTTTTTTTTTTTTTTTTTTTTTTTTTTTTTTGTGTAGCCTTGGCTGTCCTGGAACTCGCTCTGTAGACCCGGCTGATCTCGAATTACTCCTAGCAATCCTCCTGCTTCAATCTGCAAAGTGGTGTGAACTACTATGCCTGCTAGAAACTCAAACTTAGTTGGACAGTGGTGCCCAGGCTTTGAAAGGACTCCTTTAATTAAAAAAAAAAAAATTATTTAGCTTTATTTATGTGCTTTGGTGTGAAGGTACCAGATCCCCTGGTACTGGAGTTACAAACAGTTGTGAGCTGCCACGTGGGTGCTGGGAATGGACCTAGGTCCTCTGGAAGAACAGCCAGTGCTCTTAAACGCAGAGCCATCTCTCCAGCCCCACTTTAGGTTTTTTTTTTTTTTTTTTTTTTTTTTTTTTTTTTTTTAAATAATGTTATGTGTATGGGTGTTTTCACTGCCTGTATGTCTGAACACTTAAGTATAGATATGTGCTCAATTTTTAAGCTGTTACCTGAATTTATAAACATGCATCTCAATAGGAATCACTTTTCACACAGATGACAATTCATAATACCATTGGATATATTACACTGGTCTATTCTGGAGGTGTTTTGATTGAAATAAATTATCATTCTCACCATCTGTCTGAATGAAACAAAGGGGGCTGGAGAGATGGCTCAGAGGTTAAGAACACTGACTTCTCTTCCAGAGGACCTGAGTTCAATCCCCAGCAACTGCATGGTGGCTCACAGCCACCATCTGTAATGAAATCTAGTGCCCTCTTCTGGCCTGCAGGCGTACATGCAGGCAGAACACTGTATACATCATAAATAAATAAATAAATCTTTAAAAAAAAACCAAAACAAAGCCAGGCATAGTGGCACACATCTTTAATCCTAGCACTAGGCGGGCAGGCAGGTCAATGTGAGTTCAATGTAAACCTGATCTACATGGCAAGGTCCAGGCCAGCCATGGCTACATGATGAGACCCTGTCTCAAAAAAGAACAAAGCGAGGTGGTGATGGTTCATGCTTTTAATCCCAGGGCTGGGGAGGCAGAGGCAGGTGGATCTCAGTGAGTTTGAGTTCCAGGAGAGCCAGGGCTACACAGAAAACCCCTGTCTCAACGCCCCCCCCCCCAAAAAAAAGGAAAGAAAGAACTATAATTGATTTGAAATATGAGGAGGGTAGCTCAGTGGTTGAGCACTGGCCTAGCAGGTGCAGAGGCCCTGGATGTGATCACAGCACAGAAAATTAAAGAAAGGAAAGATAGAACTCACCACTCATCTGGCTGAGCTTTAGTTATTCCCAAACCTCGGCTGTTCTGGCTGCAGTAATTATGCTGGTGTGATGTTTTTAAGTGGGTCTGTAGATTTGAAAAATCACAAAAATCGTGTGTATGATGAGTGGCATGTGGAAAACTCACGTTAACTTATATCAGCCACTTGGTGAACATGCAGATTCGTTGTAATTGTTGGTAAAATGATGCATAGGGCGACTGGAAGTCACGTGTCTGCTTACAAGGCAGAGAATGGGAAAGGCAGATGATGGAGTGACTTGGAAAATTAAAGACTGCCCAGGAAAACTCAGTGCTGACACTGGTAATACTTAATATAATATTCTTTAAAATGTTAGGGAAGAAATATTGGAGGTTTCGTTCTTTCTTTTTTTTTGCTTGTGGCTCGTTTTACTTTTGAGACAAGGTCTCACTCCGCAGATAAGGCTGGTCTTGAACTCCCTATCCTCCTTGCCTCTACCTACCTCCTATTTATTTATATGGGTATTTTGTCTGCGTGTATATCTGCACACCAAAAGAGGGAACCAGATCCCCTTGTGGCTGCTGGGAGTCGAACCCAGGACCTCCAGAAGAGCAGCCAGTGCTCTTAGCCACTGAGCCATCTTTCCAGCCACGTTCAGCTGCCTCTTAAGTGCCGGCATTACGGGCTTGCACCACCACACCTGGTTCACATTTGCTAGGCTAGTGCTTTACCTCTGAACTATATCCCCAGCAATTGCGTCGTTCTTACAATGAGTATCACACAGCATCACCCCCTCTGGCTATGTTTTTTTGGGTTTTGTTTGTTTTTTAACATAATTCATTGAATGACCGCATCACAGTTTATTTCACCAACCTCCCATTGGGCCAAATTTATTCTGATATTTTGTTACTGAAAATCTCCATGACATCTCACATATATGCTAGGATATCTGTAAGATGCATTTAAGATTGTCATACGCTTTGGCCTACTCGCATAACAGCATTTAACGACACTTCTAGTTTCCAGTCTTTTAAAAAGAGTTTTGTTGTTGTTTAAGACAGAGTCTCAAAAAGGTTTTATTACACTTACTTGTGCGTGTGTACGCAGGTGCACACAGTGTGTGTGTGTACACATGTATGTGTACAGGCGTTTGTACCTTTCATCTGTGCCAGAGTATATATATGTACAGAGGTCAGAAGGACAACTCTTTTTTGTTTGTTTATTTTCGTTTTTTGAGACATGGTTTCTCTGTAGCTTTTGGTGCCTGTCCTGGAACTCACTTTGTAGACCAGACTGGCCTCGAACTCACAGAGATCGGCCTGTCTCTGCCTCCTGAGTACTGGGATTAAAGGTGTGAGCCACCACCACCCAACTGTTTTTTGTTTTTTTGAGACAGGGTTTCTCCATGTAACAGCCCAGGCTGTTCTGGAACTTACTGTGTAAACCAGGTTGGCCTCAAATTCACAGAGATCCGCTTGCCTCTGTCTCCCAAGTGCTGGGATTAAAGGCATGCACCACCACTAACGCCCTATGATAGAACAACTTTTAAGCGTTGGTTCTCAGCTGGTTGCTGGTGGCGCATGCCTTTAATCCCAGCCCTAAGGAAGCAGGAGCAGATGGTATCTTCTATGAGTTATAGGCCAGCCTGGGCTACTGAGTTCCAGAAAAGGCTCCAGAAGCCACACTGAAAAACTCTTGTCTCAAAAAACAAAACAAACTGGAAAAAGGGAGCTGGTTCTTTCCTTATTTAATTAATTTATATTTTAAAACAAAACAAAAAACTAACAGGTTCTCCTGTAGCTCAGGCTGGCCTCAAACTTAGTATGAACTCAGGGTGACCTTGAACTGATTCTTCTGCCTCAGTTTCCAGAGTGCTGTAAGTGTAGTATTGTATCACCATACCTAGTCTAATTCTGAGACAGGCTTACTATGTAGTCCAAGATAACCTGAAACTTGTGTAGCCTAGGCTGGCCTCAAACTGGCAATCCTTACACCCCATAGATTGCTGGGATTAACAGACCTGTACCACCACTCCCCCTGGCTTGATCCTGGCAGTTTTGAGTATCCTGTGTGGTAGAGTATTATTTTAAGATGTGTTACATTTGTTAATGCTGTGGAACATGTGTTTAATGATGCAAAGATGTGCTGCATTCTTTTATGTTGCATTTGTTTTACTCTGTGAAGCTGTTTTGCTTTGCCTGTGTAAAACACCTGATGGTCTAATAAAGCGCTGAACGTCCAATATCGAGGCAGGAGAAAGGATAGGAGGGGTTGGCAGTCAGAGAGAATAAATAGGAGGAGAAATCTGGGTGGAAAACAAGAAAGAGCAAGAAAAAAAGGAGAGGAAGAACATCAGGGACCAGCCACCCAGCCACACAGCCAGCCACAGAGTAAGAGTGAAAGTAAGATTTACAGAAGTAAGAAAAAAGTAAAAACCCAAAGGCAAAAGGTACACAGGGATAATAAAAGTTAAGAAAAGCTTTAAGTTTTAGCTTAGCAACAAGCCAAGCTAAGGCTGAGCATTTATAATTAAGAATAAGTCTCCGTGTGTGTGTGTGTGTGTGTGTGTGTGTGTGTGTGTGTGTGTGTTTGGAAGCTGGCTGGTGCGGTCCCCCAAAAGAGCCAAAAAAGCAAAAACAACCAACAACAATATAACAACTATTTTATAGATTTATTTTGTGTAGTTTGCTGTTTCCTGAGGCCTAAATTCATTTCTGGTGAGAAATACTACAGAAATGACGTGTGTGGTGGCTTAAGAAGAGGCAAGTGATCCCAGTTTATCTCATTGTTCGTGCTGTTGACTTTGACCATTTATTCGAAAGTTGCCAGATTACTATAAAGTCGTAACTTTTCTCTTTGGGGCTACAGGACAGCTGGCTCAGCGGTTAAGAGCACTTGCCGATGGCTCTTCTAGAAGACCTGAGTTCGATTCCCAGCACCCACACATCAGGCAGCCCACACTCTGTAACTCCAGCTTCAGGGAAATCTGACACCTCCGGCCTGCACTCGTGGCCATATACCTACATGCAGATACATAGTCTATACGTAACTAGACAATAATAGAAACAAACCTTTAA